AATATCATATCCTATCACTTCTGGTTCCAAACAAAACTTCAAGCATTACTGGCAAAAGGCACTGATTACAAAGACTGGAACACCACACAATCTCCATCTGGTTTGTTAGCATTAGTCTTTCTTTTTAAACATTTAAAAAATAAACATGGAGCTTCCAGCATTTCTGAGAAAATCAGTCTAACCTCATAAAGTTTACTTGATGCATCAATCAGACAATATACCTTTTATCATGCTGACTAGTAGTGAATCGTATTCAAGAAATTGTCTTTTTCTCTCTTTCCAGCTGCAAGTCTGTGGACCAGTATGTTATAAAGAGATTTATTTCAGATTACATTTTGTTTCTAAGGATAGTAGGTAAACCTTAAAACTTATTTATTTTGGCTATGTTTCATTTAGGTCTACAGCTGAGTAACAACGCACATAAGAAATAACCAGTGTATTAGATTAGCTCTGTACACTAACTGACAAACACACAGGTTTGTGAATATTACTTCCATTTACCATAACAAATTAGATCAGTCACTAAAATATCTGATCACTCCTAAGATAACATTCTGATCACGTAAGATAACAACTGGGAGTAATTTGAATAAAATATTCATAGACAAGTCATCGACAAAGAGTACCTATGGTTTTAGAATAACTGTTTCTGAAGCAGAAAGGAATTGCCAGTAGTGCAGGCATGTGTCCTGAAAACTCAGGAAAAGCTAACAAATAAATCAATGGATTTAACATTCCTAGCAGGGTAATGACTGAAGTAAAAGCAAGGATTTGAAATGTTGATACTTGTACGTTCTCTCCAAACAAGCTCTTGTATCTAACACACAGCTTCGAAGTGCAGATCAAGTGAAGTCTTAAACACACCTGAAGTCAGTATAAACAGCACCAATTTAAAAAAAGAAATAAAAAATGGGATGTCCTTAGAATTTAGGCTTATGAAAAACAATGAACAAACAAACAAGCATTAAGTAAGGAACCAGTACTAAACTCCCTCTTTTGCAGACCATCTGTTTCTCATCCACTTTTGCCCCTCTAAAAGACAGAGGGACCATAATTTGAGAGACCGCAGTACTTGAATAAAACATCCACAACTTTGTCAAGTTAAGGATTCGTATCCTTTTGCTTGCTCTTCTGTATCTTTTCTATCTTAGTCTGAGAATAAAGTTTAGATTCATTATTTTTGTGAAATAACATTTTCTTATGCTACTTATACCCACAACATTGTCATCAATATTATCAAGTGTTCACATAAAGCAGAGAAAATACTTCATAAAAAATTCATTGTGAACATGAAAACAACTGAAGCAAATCGTTGACAGAAGACCTAGAACTTACTGCCAAGATGATTCCATAATAAAATCATAGGGAAACTAGCATATTCCAATGAAATGACTTACATGATATTTTCCTTTCAAAATGCTCCAATCATTGCTCACAGATCTTCTTTAAGGATATGTTTTGTTACAGTGGGACTAAGTGCAAATCACCATTAGCCTCAGAAATATAGCTTCAGCCTATTATTCTGATGTGTGATCTTTATTTTTTTTTTTTCCTTGTGGTATTTTCCAAAGTCCTGCTTATAATATGCTAAAGCATTAGTGAATTGCTTCAAGCATCTCAGCCAACACCTTACCCACAGATACACCAGCTTCATTCAGTGCATGAATAGAGAAACTCAGAATGTAAAACTAGACTAAGGCAACTTAAAACACACATATTCTTTAAAAGCTATTAATCACAAGCTGTGTAATAATGCCACCCTGGCAAGAAAACTGTCGGGTCTCTTTATGCTGAATTTCTTCGCACGTAATAATTAATGTTCACTTTGATAACTCAACATGTTAGCCTGCAAATTTTATTTCAACATTCCTATACTGTTAATAATTAGCATTTCCTAAGTGCTCTTTTTTCTCTATATTGACTACCGGTGAATAACTGTGGTCTGAAAGCACGGAAAGCCTTAATACGGCCTGTTAAAGATCAGTATGAAACACAGCAACCTTAACTGACCTCAGGTAAGCTCAATTCACAAGTTAACCTTACTCATGTCTACTCATTATAGTCTCTTTTTTCCATTCCAAAGCAAAAAAACCCCCAACATTCATGAAATATCCATAGTTGTATAATTTTATAAAATCATTTGCATGGGTTCGGCCTGAAAAGGGAGATTATAAGAACATGGTGTCCCACTCAGATAAATGCAAGTTGCTGGCTGACTTATCATTTACTGACTTATTTTCAGAAAAAATATTGCACATTTTGACACAGTCATTGACAAATGCATTATAAGCAAAAGAAAATTACTATATAAACTCCTGCTGGAGTTTCATGACAGACACCATGAAAATAGACTTTGCCTGGAGTAAAACATTCATATTAACATCAACTTTAAAAATGACTGCCCTTGAAATAACCTTGCAGAGACCTCTACTTAGATGCAACTCCACCCCTGGATTTCAGAACATAACACCACCGAAAAAAACCATGTAATCTTTATAATAATGCATAGCTGCTGTCATTAACTTTTTAATTTTTCTGTTCAGGCTTTCTCCTGCTGTAAATTTAGACTCTACCATTATGTGGTAGTGAAATATGAAAGGAAGAGCCCTGCAAACACACTCTGATGCCATGTTCCCTTTGTCTGACATCCATTCAATGGGCACAGAGATTGAATAATATGTACTACTAGAATGACTGTAGCTCTGACAATGCACTGGAAGGGAAGCAGGGTACATCTACTTATTCCATTCTTTTCTCACCATTCTCTTTAAGCAACACATCCTCACCTTATCTTTAGTACATTAATTGAGTAAAAATGTCTGCAACTCATCATTATTTATAGACTTCTGTGTATCTCCTTCAGACCAGACACCAGAGAAGCCATAAAGGTTACTTTTCACTCACAGGACTGTTCAGAATGCAACATTAATGAAGTTACCTGATTCTAAATGGATCAATTATTCCTGATTAGTTTTTCCCACACTTCCTGAAAAGAATGAATTAATTTCCAGATCTTCTGCTAGCATTTCAGAGTTTGTTCACACATGGTTTAACAATATGAGATACTGCACATCTCAGAATAATTTATTACGGGCAACAGACTGATTCTAAAAATGACTATAGGTTGCTTCACAGCTACAGAGACGATTTCTGTGCAAATACAGAACTGCTGGCTTCTTCTCTTCCTCCTCAACAATAAATACAGCTAGAGAAGCTCATTCTTCAATTAAAAGAAATGGGGGCATCCAGGTTTGCCTTTTCATGCTCACATGGTTGCTTTTTTTTTTTTTTCCCCTCCCCCCCCTTTTTTTTTGTTTACTTTATGATGACTGGTCTTAACATTTTTAAAATTAGTTCTACAGTTTCAGCTTAATTTGTGAGAAAACACTCCTTCCTTTACAATACTTCTTTTTGTGATCAGCAACTGCTTGTGCCTCAGCATGGTGGTCAGAGAAAAGTTACAAAGAACTGCTTTGTTCCTTGCTTCAGACAATATGCCAGCTCCCAAAGGCAAGGACAAGTAAACCCATGACCTTATGATAACTAAAGCCTGCTTTCATTCTTGTCTTGTGTTCTCCTCAAAGACAGCAACAGTTCCTCCAGGGTCTCTGTGAGAAATAACATTGATAATATACAAAACTACCCAATAAACAGGAAAAACAGTTGTGATGCTTGTGTTATGTTGTGAAGACTGTAGGGAGAGATTGTGATAGATAAAATTGACTTAACACTTAAAAAAAAGAACACTTACGTTTCAATATTAATTATCCCAAATTACTAAACCTGTGTACTTAAACTAGAAAATCACAGGGACTGCCTTTTTTTTTTGATAGCTATGTAAAGGTTAGACTTGGTACTTCATGTAATGGCATGATCATGAATCATGACATGATTTAGCAAAAGAAACAGTAAAAATATAATCTGATGTCTAGTTACAAGATGCAAGCACATTTTAAGCTCTTGACAGAACACAGGAAATCACTGAATTAAAACAAGACCATTTTCAAATACTTAAATTAAACCTCTAACTCGTATTGATTCTGAAAAGACAGAATGTCTGCTAAGCCAGAGAAGGTGTCCAAAATTCAGTGGGCTTCAGATACCTGGTATAGAAAGTATTTAAGCTTAATTTTTAGAGAATTTTCAGTTAAAATTAAGATTCACGTTCACTGTTCTTTAAGCGTTGTTGTTGTTAAATAAAAATATGAGGTTCAAGATAAAAGCACAAGAACTGTCAAGGTGGAGAAAATATTAGTTATACCCTGATTTTTTCTTTCTTCTACCGAAAGTTGTAAGGAAGATGCTAAAACAATCCATTTGTTTCCAGCGTTTTGAAGTCTCCCAATTTCCTAGTGACATCTGCAAGTTTGAGCTGAGCACCGTACAATAGCAGTCTCATGGCTTTTGGAGCTTCAGCATGACCAAAATCTTTTCTCTACAAAAAACAAGTTAGACCGACCATAGCGTTTTTCAATTATTATTCTGTCTCCAGGTAGGTATGACAGAAAACTCTTAAAATCGGCAAAGTGCTGATGAAAGAAGCGACGACAGACAACAATTACTTAAATTACTACTTTTTTTCCTCTGCATACTGTACACCTATGCCTTTGGGCTTAGAATAGCAAGCATCCTGTCAGTGGCCAACAGGAATATCTGATTTATGAGGTTTACCTGACCACAGACTGAGGACACACAAGACACTTCTTCCTCTTCAAAAACCATGCCTTGCTGTCTGTAGCAAATACATTTCAATGGAGCCCTGCTATGCTGCAGAGAACTGCTGCACTGTGCTTCTTTGGGCACTGCTGTTCTGTACTGCTTGGGATTTGCCACCATTTTGACTTTTTGTCTTAAGATGCACTAGTGTTGCTGAAGGAAGTGAGGAATATATTTAAAACAAATAAACGTAGATTTGTTTTACTATACAGTATTTTACGTTCCAAGAGCTGGAATTGAAGTGAACATTGAAAGTATAATTCAGTTCTGTATTTAATTCTTACCTGAGAAGAATATGTGTGACCATCTGATCCACAAACAGGATTGGTATAAACTACTGGACACTGCTTGCAGTTTGATGAAATGGGACCACCCCTCCACTGTTTATGGCCTAAACCAGCCTCTTTCATACTGTAAGTAAACAAAAAGTATGTAATTCTGATAAGCAGTAGTAGAAATAGAACATAAGCAGGGTATTTTAACGAGCCTTCATAAACAATAAGCCACATATTATTTCAGCCATTAAGTAAAGTGCTGGCAGTCTTTACTGTTTGCTACATGCTTTTTTGCTATCATACCATACTCACTGTAGCTATACTTGGTACCTGCATGTAATTTCTAAGACATCTAGGTAAAAAAAAGATAATTTAGATGATGCTTGACTTGTATTGTTTTTGCTCATTTTTTTCTTATTGAATAGTATGAAGAGAGCTATTATTTTATCTAGAGTTTAAAGAGTTAGCATTTACATACGATTAGATGTTACTACAAGAAATTCAATAGAAGCAAGTGGTCCTTCAGAGTACTGGTTAGCTTACTTTGACAACTGTCTTTCACAGATCGCATTTCTCAAAATTCAGATTCCACCACCAAAGGTAGAGTTCAAAGTTAAATAGAAGCAGCTTGCTGGAACACAGATTTGAACTGCACGTGTTTGTATATACGTGCTTGCATGCATGCATCCAAACATATGCAAACATACAAAACCAGATTTTAACACAGACAAAAAGCTATACTGGCCAGTTTAAAGACTGAAATACGAACTAAGTTTCGACACTTCATCAAAATACTCTCCCAGCCTTCAGTAGCTCCCATCATACAGCTACTCTCTAAGAAAAATGTTTTCTTCTGGTTGCTCTAAATTAATATTTCACTATGTTTCTGTATACTTTTTGCACCTGTGAAAGCATATAACAACCACTCTGCCCTGAAACACTTGTTTTATGAGAGCTGCCTAATTCACAGAGTGACCTACAATACACCTTATACACTAATGGCTTCCATATAAACAAGAAAATAGAACAATAATTATTTTCATTCTGTTTCCTACTTGGAATCTTCGTCAAAAATCTAAAAATGATCGTGCTTAGGACTCAGCAGTAACTTACCAGGATACAACAAAGCAGTTAAGTGTTCACACTCAAAAAATTCAAATCAAATCTTTAATGGAGCAGAACTCTTTCAGTTCAGTTCACCTACAGATCATCAGCAACTGTTCTGCTAATTAGTCATGAACCACCTCCGGAGAAGAACTTGTCAAGAGTAATAAAATGAAATGGAATGAGGAAAAAAAAAAACAACTTGTCCTCTGTTGTTATGATGTGCAGAGTAAACGTAAGCAAATAGCTTGATGGTAAACTGGTAATGATCAAAAACAAAATGCCATTTGTTGGTTATGCTGATGTTTTTACACTATCCTTAATTATGTCTGCAAACACAGTCTTTAAGAAGAAAAAGATCAGGTGATTTACATATACATGTTTACATTTGGATTTTGTAGTGACTATATTCCGAGCCGATTCAATTACATGTAGCATAATGAGTGGTAAAAATCTGTATAGGAAGTACAAGAAAAGGAAAGAACTCAAAGACATTGCTAATTCATAATAACTAACAATACTTTCTGCTGGATTGCTTTGTTTGAAGGCTAAACACACACCATTTCATTTCAATTAAAGAAAGGTACAGGTGAACAGCACTTTTGGTTATATATAATGTATGGCAATCATCTTATTACTGGGGCTCCTCTCACTTGACTTTTTCCAGCCTAATGAGGTGGCTGCATCTTCCTCATACTGCTCATTTCTTCTGTAAGTTACAAATTTCCACAATCATCTCAGAAGCCTGAGATAACTGACAGGGTTAGGGAGTCCCAGCTATCAACCCACTGTAATTTCTCTGTTCATCTGAGCCAAGGTAACTGTAAAACACTGCATAAATCAATCGCAAAAATTCCACACATCAACAGAAAGAATTTTGATGTAAGTATGAACCAGCAATTGGAAACGGGATTTCTGAGCTACACAGAGGGTGCTGTTGTGCGTGGTTTCTCAAGACCAGTACAGATGACAGATCTTTAGCTTATCTGTCCTCACAATCATATCAATACCCTCAGTGGAATTTACAGAACAAATAAAGATGGCAATCTGAGTGGAGTGGGAAAAAGGCACTTCCAACTGAGGAAAAGGGATGAGTAAAATCATCTAAAGGAAGAAAAGAGTTTGATGTCTCAGAAAGGATCACAACAGTGCTGGACACTGGAACAAGCAGAGGAAACAAATCACAGGTCTGTGAAGACAAGCAGAGTGGTGAGAAGAACAAAGCCAGAAAGATCACTTTCTCTCAACCAGCCTCAGACATAAGATTTTAAATGCGAGCTATCCCAGGCCATTCACTCAAGGCTGTAAAGTTTCCTCTTCTACAAACAGCTCTCCTGAGACCTTCAGCAAATCACTCCCAAGATCTTAGCTTCCCTGTAACTAGTATAATTTCCTATAAAACAGAAGCATCTGTGTTTTCCAAACTCTAGATAAATGATTTCAAGATAAATAAACTATAAATCATGTTAGTCTGGAGATTCTGAGTCATGCAAATGCTCTAGACAGACATATGTTCTGAAGCCTTAGTAAGAAAAAAGGTTCTGTACTGCTCAGCTATCGGACCATCAGTTGATAACCTGGCAAGAAAATAAGAAAGTCAGTACAAAACACTTTGAGTACCAGCTACGGTGTTCAAAACACTTCATAAAATCTATCAGTACTGACTTAAACTTACATATCCTAACATTTCATTTCTCCCTTATGTAATTCTATCAAGTTTGTTTCCCTTGACTATTCGTTAGTGCTTTCACGGGTTGTTGGTTTTTTTGTGTGGGCTTTTTTTCCCCCACCTAGGCAATGACCATACGTACAAATTGCTTACATGCAAATAATTAAGAAATGATTATAATGATAAAAATCAACTTGAATTATAAAGCACTGTCGTATGAACGTGATATAAGGATACAGGAAAACAGCTTAAAGACAACATAAACAATTTCAGTTACAACTATGCATTTAAAGCAATATATTTTTATACTTTAATATGTTAGAGGAAAATGATCAGTAAACAAATCAATTACGTCACTGTAAGAAAACACTCTTTTTTCTTCCTTGTATTTGTTGTTGTTTTTTGTTGGGTTTTTTTTTCCCATTTGATAAGCAAGGACATCCAGATCATCACAACTTGAAGTTACTAAAATCCTGCCATTTAATTTTGTGATTCCACTGCACTCACTAAAAAACTACTTGCCCCTGTTAGTTGGTTGCCACAACAAAAATAAGAAGCCATATACAAGACAATCTCTTCCACTCACACATTTTGTACTTCTTGATTTCCTGAAAAACCACTTGGGGATCTCTCTAGCAATGAAGTACTAAATACAGAAGCTCTGCCCCCTCTGATACTGCTGACACCTAGTGATTATATTCAATCTATGGGTTTTAGTTCGCCAACACTTCTGATTACATTAACTTGCATAAACCAAATTGCACATATGCTTTTAGACTGCATATGCAACTGCATGCCTGGAAACATAATTAGGCAATCTGCTCAATTACTGAAGCCTATGTACCTGTTTGCATACATAAACTTACCTTTCCGTTTATACATTGATCACGTCTCCAAATATTTCAAGAATGCTAAAAATAACACTGAATATTTTGCTGCATGCTACTAACATAAAATGCATTGCTGTCCAATTCACTTGAATGAATGTGATAGCTAAAAGCTAGATTAGAGAATCCTCAGATACAGATCTTCGAATGCAGACTGATAGAAACAAATTTGAGTTAGTAAAGAATTCATGTTTCAAGGAACTCTTGCAATTTTCCTCTGACAGCTATATTTGAATTTCTTAGATATTCTTCGAATTACTCTGATTTAGAGACTGATTACGTTTTGCAGCAGCCTTTGAGAAACACAATCAGGCTGTGTCACATTAACATAATTAGAAAAAGCACTTGCGTTGCCAAATCCAATTTGTTTTTGTTAGACCTGACTGAATTTCCTTCAAAATTCCTTTTTCATGGGGAAGCATCCTAAAATAAAACTACAGCTCTCGGTGTTTCTCTCCAGTGACAAAAGCAACCAAGACGATATGGTGTGATGAGCTGCAGGCAGCTCAGTGCCACACTGATATTCAATCATTCCCCTCAGAGGGTTGACAGAGAGAACTGGGAAACAAGTAAAACTCATAGGCTAAGATAAAGATGTGACATAAAAGGAAGGGGAAATAACAACAATGATAAAACAACACAGAAAGTAAGTGCTGCACAACACAATTGCTCGTCACCCAGCAACTGATTCCCAAACAGTCCCAACCAGCAGTAGTGGTCCCAGCCAACACCCCCAGTTTCATCACACCACATGATGCCATATGGATGCCATATGGACAATCCAAACTTTGTCCAGTTTGGATCAGGTGTTTTTCTGTCCCCTGCCAGCTCTCTGTGTACCTCCAACACTGCACTGGCTGAAATATCCTTAGCTCTGTGCAGCACCTGCTCAGCACCAATTAAACATCAGTGTGTTACCAACATTGTTTTCCTCATAAGTCCAAAACACAACATGATAACAAATGCAGTATAAAAAAATTAACTAAACGGCAGCTAAAATTAAAACACATAGCCATTTCTTGAGTGTTTGTCTCCACCTTATTTTCACTTTTTCATTATTTTGCATTATTTGTAACGCATTCAAGAAGAATTTGTCTCAACTCTTACTATCTCCTTCCATCTACTTGTAATAACAAAATATGTTCTTACTTCAATAGAGCTTCTTGCCTTGTTACATACTTTCACTACTTTCAGCAGTATTCTGTATACTTTTGCAAAGCAAAGAAGTCATTATTTTATTCTAAATATCTATGTAGGTCACTCCGGAAGTAATGCCCTCTATTTGTTTTCTTGGAAACTACAACAGATAGAAAGAAGACAATATTACTATTTGACAGAGCAAATTCTCAGCTACAAAACACTATTTTTCAACACAGTCAACATGATTAGCTATGCATTTTTGCCAGTAGTGAACAAGAGCCTGCCTGCTGAGCAATGCAAAAAACCTGCACCGGCATCGCTGCTAAGGAAGTGTTG